AAATAGGAACCATTTTTACGTGCAAGTACAATATGGGCGTATATATATATATGTGGGACATATATATATATATATATATATATATATATATATATATCACATACATACATAAACACTTGAATGTGGAAATATGGCACCTTAATTGCTAAAATAAGATAAGCTATAAAAGCATAAAGTTACTAAGGTGATATCTAAATGACCAGAGATTTTTCAAGCACTTTACCCAAATAGTTTTACCTGAATTAATAACTAAAAAGAGTTTTCCTCTTCTTAATTCCAGTGTGATGTGATCTCCATTTTGCCCTTGCCGGTGGAGTAGAATCCCATCGCTCTGCATAGTTTTAAATTTCAAAGAAATTATATCCTTTATTGGGCTCAGGGATTTTTGATCAAATCTGTAGAGAAGGCAACTTTTCCCATCAAGATCAACCACCTCTGATCCTAGACAAAGATATTAAAAGTCATTCTAAGGATAAATATGCTTTTCATTAAAGCATTTTAAAAGTATATGTATAGAAAGAGCATTATACTTGTACCCATACATGTATAGTTCAGCTCCAAGCCAATCAAAATAATGGAAAATAAAACCACCAAATGTCTAATTCCTTCTAATTCCTGGGATTGATTCCATTTTAGTCTTTATTCACCTATTTACAAAATTCATGATCTAGAAATACATTTTGAAATGTATTCCTAATTTTCTCATATTATTAAAGGCTGTTTCTCATTCCATAATAAATTAGGGAAAAGGTTATAATCAATACCCATAAAACCACTTTGCATATTTCATGATCAATATTTTTAATGACATTCTTGAAATGTTGAAGTTAAATGGTTTTTTACCTTCTAAAAAAGTAGTTTTGAAATCTCAAAATTCTTTCTATATGGCATATATAAAAGAGATCGACACACAAATACAAACACATACATCGGACTCATCAATGCCACCTCAAGTATACATTAAACTGACCTTTGTGTTTTGTTTTATTTTATTATTTTTGTGGCTAAGTAATAGTATTTAAGAGCAATGCTATTTTCTGTCTTCTCAAGGGCACTGTTGGAAAGATATTCACTTAATGACATTATAAGGGCTGTTCTGCATTTGTGTCATAACTGTGACATTGACAGGTTTTTTCAGCTTTCTGACAGTGTCTTATCTACTCATTGTCAAGATCACTTTTATTCAGTTCATCTGATAAAAGATGTCATGTTCTACCAGTAACATAACAGTACATCTGTCAAAATCAGTTGCACCCTGAGCAAAGAACTGATAATACTCAGAAAGCCTTGCAGTGTTTCCTACATTTCACAAGTCAAAGATTTTTTTTTTAAGGCAATTACCCTTGAGAGTGCATTTATGTAATAAATGAAGAGGTTAGGGAAACCCAATAAAATAGGAAGCTATTTTTCAACTGGTTAGGTGACTTCTCCCAGTCAACAAAACGACATTACAGTTCACTCATCTTGTTTCATTCCACAAAATTATTACATCAACTTGTATGTCCAAATATGCATTTCTTTCAGATTATCCATCATATGTAATGGGAACCATTTATATTCACCACCGCCCCCAATTTTTCCCAACTATTTTATGCAGCTATCTTTTGGAAATTCAGAGGTTTGATTTTTCCACGTCTTGTTAATGTGCTTATAAAAGAATTCATTCACCAAGTGCACATGAATAAACATTGCATTCTGTAGGAAGAATAATGTTAACTGAATAATTACTCCTTGTTATATAGCTGAATGAATGTGCATGGCAAAAACATAACTCTGTGACAAATACAAATAATGTGTTCTATGATAATTAGATTACAATAAATTAAGAAAAATTCCAATAAGACAGACTTTAAATGCTGACACATTTAGAGCCATGCAGTTATCTCTGAGTTAATGCATCGCTTAAAGGCAACCGTCATTATAATGATTTTATTTCAGATAAAGTCTATTTTTGGAATTAGCTACCAAGAGAATTTTTTCCCCAATGAACGTCTAGCCTGTGATACTTCAGCCTTCTATTTCTTTTTTTCTCTCTTCTTCACTACTGTTGCTATTACATTATAATGGTCATATCAGCCTTTCATGGCACCAAGAGCTTTGTGCCTGGAATATCTCCATCAGCAAAATGGGATAGTGAGAAACCTATTAGACTATTGATGCCTAAAGCAATGGTATACTACTTCATCTCTTAAATGGAAGCCACTGGGCATTTTCTCTCTTACCTATTATGTTCTTACTTCACAGGTATCACACTAAGTAGTTGGGTCCATTCATTCAATAAATATTTACTTAGCCCATCCAGTCTGAGGCCCTGTGATGGATGCTGAGATAAAAGAGGGATCAACACCAACATGGCCCTTGTCCTCACGGAACTTACATTCAGTGAAGACGGGCAACAAGTAGCAAGTAAAAAAGTAAGTTCACATTCCCACCAGCAGTGCAGGAGGGTTCCCCTTTCTCCACACCCTCTCCAGCATTTATTGTTTCTAGATTTTTTGATGATGGTTATCCTGACCGGTGTGAGATGACATCTCATTGTAGTTTTGATTTGCATTTCTCTAATGATGAATGACGTTGAGTGCTCTTTCATGTGTTTGTTGGCAATCTGTAGATTTTCTTTGGAGAAATGTCTATTTAGGTCTTCTGCCCATTTTTGGATTGGGTTGTTTGTTTGTTTTTTTGTTATTGAGCTGCTTATAAATTTTGGAGATTAATCCTTTGTCAGTTGCTGGTACAGCCACTATGGAGAACAGTATGGAGGTTCCTTAAAAAACTACAAATAGAACTACCATATAACCCAGCAATCCCACTACTGGGCATATACCCTGAGAAAACCATAATTCAAAAACAGTCATGTACCAAAATGTTCATTGCTGCTCTATTTACAATAGCCAGGAGATGGAAACAACCGAAGTGTCCATCATCGGATGAATGGATAAAGAAGATGTGGCACATATATACAATGGAATATTACTCAGCCATAAAAAGAAACAAAATTGAGTTATTTGTAGTGAGGTGGATGGACCTAGAATCTGTCATACAGAGTGAAGTAAGTCAGAAAGAGAAAGACAAATACCGTATGCTAACACATATATATGGAATCTAAGAAAAAAAAAATGTCATGAAGAACCTAGGGGTAAGACAGGAATAAAGACACAGACCTACTAGAGAACGGACTTGAGGATATGGGGAGGGGGAAGGGTAAGCTGTGACAAAGCGAGAGAGTGGCATGGACATATATACACTACCAAACGTAAAATAGCTAGCTAGTGGGAAGCAGCCGCATAGCACAAGGAGATCAGCTCAGTGCTTTGTGACCACCTGGATGGGTGGGATAGGGAGGGTGGGAGGGAGGGAGACGCACGAGGGAAGAGATGTGGGAACATATGTATATGTATAACTGATTCACTTTGTTATGAAGCAGAAACTAACACACCATTGTAAAGCAATTATACTCCAATAAAGATGTAAAAAATAAATTAATTAAAATTTTTTTAAAAAGTAAGTTCATAAACCATTACAGACCATAACAGGCATTCTGATCAAGATTAAAAGAAGCCTGGGGTCACTTTAGTTAAGGTAGTTGGGAAAGCTCAGTTCTCAGGTCTAGAAACCTGATGCTAAAGCAGATGGTAATCAATAATCTTCTTACTCTTGTCAGTCTTCAAGTCCTAAACTTGTCCGCATAAAATAATTACTCTTATGCTTAATTTTAAGATGGCTAGACATTCTCCCAACACATTCTCGCATTCATTATCATGAAAGGAAGCTCTGAGGATGCTGAGAAACTCCAGTGGCAGTCAGTAACTCAGCTCTCAGATTTCACATGCAATGTGAACAATACCCTTCGGGAAAAAAAAGCTAAATATAATTGAGAATGTAAGTACAATGTCAGTACAGGGAAACTTCAAGTTATATCCGTGTAATATATGTACAAGGATTTCCATAAAACAAAGGAATTCAGGATGGTCCCTATCAGTATTACTTTAGATAGAAAACTCACTTATAAACGCTATTTACAGAACTTATCTGATATATAAAAAGCATGCGATTTTAAACAATCATCATAAAACGTTGTGCTATGATAAATACAGTTAACGATATAAAAATCTGGAACTATCTGAAAAAAAATAATCTTTTGAGAGACAGAGGGAGAGAGAGGAAGAGAGTATCTGGATTTTCTCCAAGGATGCTGGTGGGAGAGACAGGTCTCTCTTGGAACTGATATCACCACTGTTAAGGAAATTGAAAAAGCTGGAAAATAAATCAAAGGAATAACTTCATGTCCTCTCAATGTCATGCTGGAGCTTTTTAAAAGAAGCCCGTCTAATTAATTCTAGGTGAATTCACAAATATATCTTATTTTACTATTTATTACTGATGAGGGCCAGTCTCTAAGTTACATGTTAACTTATAGTTTTGGTTTTTTTTGTTTTCCCAGTAGAGATGCAAACAACTTCCATCAGATAGAAAATATATCCCCGAAGGTTATGGTTTTATTGCCCTGTTGGACGTTAAACATTTGTGTACTTAACCTAGTGATAGTAATTCAACATTCTTTTTTCCAGCTTTTAGGAACCACTTGCATTCTTGGCCTATGGCCCCTTCCTTCTTGTATAGGACCAGCATCATAGCATCTTCAAATTTCTCTCTTTCTCATTATCTCTCATGTTTGCATTCACAGTCACATCTCCTTCTCTAACTCTGATCCTGTCACGTCTCTTTTATAAGGACCCCTGTGACTACACTGGGTCCACCTGGATGATCCAGGATAATCTCCCCAACTCAAGACCCGTAACTTAATCACAACTGTAAAGTACCTTTGTCATATAATGTAACATATTTACGGTTACAGAGCATTATTCTATCACAGCAAGTTACCTGCTCTCTTTGTCCCTGTTCCTTCATCTGTAACATGGGAATAATAGTACATTCTTTTCTTTAAGTGAAGTATAGGTGATTTACAATATTTTGTTAATAACAGTATATTCTTCATAGGTCTGTTGTATGAATGCATATCTACACAATTTTTGGAAGTTGCTAGTATATAATTAGAATTCAATAAATTGTTAACTACTATTAATTATTAGAACACTGGGCAGGGAAAGAGGGATAGCAAAAGTAGTTTAATAAATACATTTGGTGTGTTTATTTTTTAAAAGTGGACTCTAAAAAATAATGAATTTCTGAAGTGCACAAGAAATGCTCAATTACCAATGTCATTGCCAGGTTAGGCAGCAATAATGATTTTGAGCCATCTGTGGGTTCTGTGGCTTTTTCTCTGTCTGTCAGCAAATGCCTGAGCTGACTCACCATGGCAATTGTCGGTGACCTGAATCCTCCTCAGTGAATACCTCCATCTCAGATCTTCTCATTTAGAGCAGGAAGCAAGGAAAGAGGTGGCTCACAAAGACTGCAGGCCCTACTCTCATTATCAATTC